GCCAATCATCTATAGAAACCATTAAACATCTAGTGCCTGTACATGTTCAGTTATCCTTAATCACATAGAAGCCAATCATCTATAGAAACCATTAAACATCTAGTGCCTGTACATGTTCAGTTATCCTTAATCACATAGAGGCCAATCATCTATAGAAACCATTAAACATCTAGTGCCTGTACATGTTCAGTTATCCTTAATCACATAGAAGCCAATCATCTATAGAAACCATTAAACATCTAGTGCCTGTACATGTTCAGATATCCTTAATCACATAGAAGCCAATCATCTATAGAAACCATTAAACATCTAGTACCTGTACATGTTCAGTTATCCTTAATCACATAGAGGTCAATCATCTATAGAAACCATTAAACATCTAGTGCCTGTACATGTTCAGTTATCCTTAATCACATAGAAGCCAATCATCTATAGAAATCATTAAACATCTAGTGCCTGTACATGTTCAGTTATCCTTAATCACATAGAGGTCAATCATCTATAGAAACCATTAAACATCTAGTGCCTGTACATGTTCAGTTATCCTTAATCACATAGAAGCCAATCATCTATAGAAACCATTAAACATCTAGTGCCTGTACATGTTCAGTTATCCTTAATCACATAGAGGTCGATCATCTATAGAAATCATTAAACAACTAGTGCCTGTACATGTTCAGTTATCCTTAATCACATAGAGGTCGATCATCTATGAAAACCATTAAACATCTAGTACCTGTACATGTTCAGTTATCCTTAATCACATAGAAGCCAATCATCTATACAAATCATGAAAGCTACATTTACATCTGTTAATTAAAATGTTACAATTTAACAGGAAACGCTTTTTGAGTTTTATCTGAATAAAAGGAATACAAGTTTAATTTTATGAAGGCATATTACATTTTTGTGCTTCCAAGAGTAAAAGGGTGGGGGTAAGGGCATCAATCGCAAATCACTTTTCTATTTTAGGCAAGCAGGTACACTGAATGTCTTTGTTATGTTTGTAGAAAAAAGGTTACTGATTGCCTCATGTTATACCCATAAATTAAATATGTTATTTTTACCATTTTAAAATCACTCTATTAGAAAATTTAATAACTTGTTTCTACTATAACTATCAAAACTGATTAGATATTACAGATAGCAGGTTTTGAAATCTATTATAGTTGTTCATCACAGGTAAATATTTACCAACAGATATTTCCTGTAACAAACGTAAGGTATTCTACTATAACTTATTTGTCTCATCATAAAATCACCTCAATCATGATAAACCTTATCTTACAGACATTGAAAAGAAATTAAAGTGAAGTATGAAAAGGTCCAAAATGTTGGTCCCTCATTACCTTTAATTAATACAAATCAATGAAATGTTAGTCAAAGTGATAGATCTATTTTTTGTGGGAGAATAATTTACTCCAATAGGTGAAACATTTAACCAAATTATATTATATAATTGAACTTCACATAAAATATGACTTAACTTAGACAAACTTTGTTTGTTAACAAGTCAAGGAAGTGTGAAACGTATGAATGAGTGACCTTCCTTTTTGTAGTCTGCTGCTAAACTCCCTATAGATGCATCCATACTATTTATACAAGTTCTAATTACTGTAGGTCACTTAGGATATGTGATACAGATAGGGTTTCTTTCCTTCATTAAACTAAATATAAAGTCAGTAAACATGGTAAAGTGTAAAATGTGGTCAGGAAATGCTATTTACATGTACCATGATTATTTTCCTAGATGCATCCTTACAACAGGTTGTATGATTGGAGGTTAGTATCCGAGATATAAACTCTGATGTTAAAATTATTCGCTCTATATCTGTATATAGTATCATGGAAATTTAGTTCATTCTTCTTTTTGTCATGGCGGCATGCCCTGATAATTTGTAAATTAGGCGTTTCAATACAATCAATGCAAACAGCCATTACATGTACATGTTGTAATTTTAGAATGGTGACATGTCACTTCAAATTATCATACATGTACATGTATTTTATTAGACCAACCAAATACTGTCATGATTGTAAATAAGGAAAATTTTGCAATGTTTGAATTATTGTAAATAAATAGGGAATGTGTCCATGGGACACAGATGATGCCCCCGCTTGCATATAACGTTAAAAAGGGACATAGCTCAAGAACTGTAAAAGTGACGCTACCCAAATTTGTACTTGATCTGAGTTTTGTGGTAATAAGCATTGTGCATAAGTTTCATAACATTTGGTTGAGGCAAACTAAAGTTAAAGAACAGAAACGAATATTTCAGCAATTTTTCCATTTGTAAAGGGGCATAACTCTAAAATGGAAAAAGTGACGCCACAACAATTCAAATTTGATCTGTGTTTTGTGGTAATGAGCATTGTGTACAAGTTTCATAACATTTAGTTGAGGCAAATTAAAGTTAGAGAACGGAAACCAATTTGGAGACATATGGACGTAGACGGACAAGGATAAAACTTAATGCCCCCTCCACTACGGCGGGGGCATAAAAATGTAATGAGGACCAGTTAGATTTTGCAAAAATAAAATAGCATTTAAATTTTAGTAGCAATATTTCTATGCAGCATTTCCTGAAATCTCAAAAAATTATTTTTTTCCTGTAGTTTTTTTAAATCAATTTAAAGATTACATCAAGATAGCCTGAAGAGATTTGTATATACATGTATATATAGAATCAACATATTCATTTTAACAACTTTTTTCCCCTGAGGAACTATTAAAACAGACCTTAAAATATTTTTTTTTTCCAAGCAATAAAATAAATGTGATCAAATAACTACAATGTATGTACATTCTATAGATGGTCAATTAACAATAATACAATGTATAGTAATCTTTGGTTACACTTTATTGAAACCATTATCATATTTTCTGCATATTCATTTTGAAAACATTCAGCTGTGGGCATTAATACAGGAACGATTTTGTTTTAAATAAAATTAACTGAAATTTATCAAAATCAATTAAAAAAATAATTCAAGAAGGAAAATATTTGATGAAAATCCTCCCTGACAATATAAAGCTTTTTTGTTGAGTGAGTGTAGTAAATCCCTATTCTGTAAATCAGCTGCAGGTTTTCAAGAACTCTGGACAAGTAACAGTAAACAAAATTGCATGAATAATGCTAAGCATACCCCACTTGAAATTCAAAGTATCAGAAAAGAGGAAGTAGGTGTCCTACAAGGTGAATGCAATATAACCCCACTCCTACAGTGTGGTTATAATAACAATAACAATACATTTTGTATATGTAAGTGAGTTTCTAGAAAGTCCTATACCAGTGCCATAAAATCTGAATTTTAATCTGGATTATCAAGTGTCCTTTCAGTCATCTACACAATGTAGCACCCTTTTACCCTGAGATTCAAGTTTGGGAACTCAATTGTCTGCATTTTGAATGAAATTTCACCAAAAATATGTGAAGTTCTTTAAATGCATACTTTTACACTATTGAAATCTAAACCATTTGTTATTTTGTTACTAACTTTAGTCTTATTTTGATGGTACCATATTAATTTATATCTTCAGAGGTCAAGTGTTTCACACCTAAAAAAAATTTATTACGATATATATTACATCATGCTCATATAAATACACATTTGAAAAATATAGTCTGAAGTTATTTCTTGTCTGATTTGAATGAAATTTTTAGCAAAAATCAAGAAATGTATGCTGTGCAGTGTTTTGTAATAGTTTTGAAATATTTGTTTGAAATCACAGTCATGACAGTTTCAAGACAAATAAATTTCTATTTCTGCTTGAAAAATATGTATATGGGTATATAGCATGTGAAGGGAAAAAATTTGTGGTTTACTATATAAGAAAATATTTTTATGATGTGTCATTCTGGAGATATTACTACTTGAAATAATTACTCAGGAATGACACTCATAAAATACAGTTCTTTATAACCACGAAAAACTGCACACATTACAGAGTAACATTTGTTTCATCAATATTAAAACTGGATCCGAAATTAATATTTGACAATTAAAAAAAAAATTGTGTTGTACATGTTGTAAGAGAAACATATATCATTATTTTCATGATGAAATAAAGAGAGAAAAAGAAATTAAACTTGTAACAAATACATGTATATTAATAACTATCACTAATTTGCCTTGAACATGTATAAAAAGTCAATAACATTTACACAAAGTAATATGGGCCTGTGGCTGCAAAAGTTTATAGCAAATCTAGACTTTACAGATATTAGGAAAAGGATTTATATACAATTTTAGGCAAATGTGATACGATAATATAATGATTTACTCACAATATAAAAATATCTTTGTCATCATTTTTTAAAATATAGATCTTATCCTCCTCTTTAAACTTTGTTATATTTTTACTTCATTAATAGAGTAAAACTACAGGAGTATGTATTAGTCAGTAACATAAAAAATTACTGAGCTTCATCATGTTCATTGAATTGGTTAAAATTTAATTCAGAATATTTTTTCAAGTTATAAATTATATTAAATAACAGTGCAAAAATTGAAAAAGATTTGCCCAGAGTACAAAATTATATATAATGATGAAAGTATCAAGCTAAATATTATATCATTACCTAACTAATAAGCCATAACACATTAAATCAATTCAAATTAAATGTTCACTCATTCAATTCCTAAATTACATTTATTACAACTTTATTGTAAATAAACGTCAAAATACAACGTTAACACGTAAAATATCTAACATCTCGATCGATAACGCTTAACTTTACCGTTAATAAAATAAAATTTAAATATGATCGATCCATTTGTTTATTCTTCTTCATATTGTTTAAAATCTAACAATCGTTATATCGAGCAAAAAAATTGACTACAAAAAGACGTCAGACAATGACCAACCGTTTTCAAAGTAAAGGTCATTGATCCTTCCGTCGGACTGTCAACAACCGACGGTGGCCTTCATCCTCAACAATTCAATTCATTAAGTAATATATTTCGCTATTAGCTTGAAATAATAATTAGAAACTCACCAATTTATTATTTTAAATAAAAACGAACAAAATTACTATGATCATAAACATCACATGGCAAACCGATGTCTTCGGTTGACAGCTTTGCCTACCATTGCGATACAAAATGGCGTCTGTTCTGAAGGTTTCTGGCGGACATCCGGGGTCTTTGCTTTCTTTCGAGCCAAATTGATTACTTCCCTTTGACCAGTGCGTGCAGTTATGGATTTAAATTTAAGTGAGTTTTTTTTTATGCTATCAATCATTGTACTCTTTTTATGTTTATGTTGGTTATATAAAAAAGGCTTTAAAAATGAAACTAGGGATTTCATTTCATTTGTAAGTTATCGATCCCTTTCAACCTCCCTTTGATCCGTTTTGGGGAACATTCGCAATATTTATTTCAAAATACAAAATTTTTATAATTTAACTTTTAAATTTTATAATGATATCAGGCAAACTGTTGTTAGCGAGATATTAATGGTGCCTGACTATATGCAGCTAGATAACCATGGAAAATTAACATCTCTAATGGTGAACCATCCAAGGAAAATAACTAAATACTTAGCAGCGTCACTTTTCCGTAGAAAACAAACAGTTTACTCTAGTTAACATTTTTTCTTTTTCACAAACTTTAGAAGAATAATATATGAACTTTTTACAAACGCTAATTCTTAAATTATAATTATTTGTCTCGAATTTAAATTTAAATTGACAATTAACACGTGATATTGGAACATTTATATTGAATTGAAAGTAAAAGGTGACTTATTGGTCCATTGGGCCGTGTGTATTATGTATGTAATTATATTCTGTACAAATTTATATATTTATGTTGATTTACACATGTCACTATAATAAACAATTTACTTACTTACTTACTTACAAAATGACTACGAACAAGGAATATAAAAACACCGGCCTTGCTTTGAATATTGTTCGATCAGAGACATATATACACATGTGTATATATGTCTCTGGTTCGATGGTAACTTTGATTGCAGTAATACAAGGATTAGTCATTTATACATCAAAATAAACTGATCACCTCTATGTGTTGTATTTCAACAATATTTTAATATTGTTCATGATTTTTGATTTTTTTTGTATAATTTACTTTAAATTAAAACCTTGCGAGAATCAATAATGGGTTGTAAAATTTCTAGTAATGAAAGGAGATTTTATTATGAAAGAAACGTTTCAGAGAAAATAGAAATAAAGTTAAATAATTCAAATAGAATCGAATGAAATAAAATAAATCAATATTTTTTTTTAAATTAATGAATTTTGGAAATTAATAAAATTTGGAAATGAATTGATATATCAAACTAACATTTACAAATCGTATTTCTGAAGATTTAGACTAGAAATGTGACTCAAGATTGAGTAATGTATAATTCTGTCTTTTTGGTAACAATATAGCTAAACATTAACTAAATCTAATTACTATAGTTCTTTTTAATCACACCTTTTAAGGTGACGTTCAGAAATCAAAGTGATAAACCGCTTTAAGACATTACAAATGAATCGTAGGAAAATAATTCGAAAATGGTTCTATTGTCCTTTAAAAATAATCCTTTTATATATGAAGTAAAGATTTATTTATTCATTTATTGCTTTTCCATAAGTTAAACGAATTACACCCTGATACGTCAATCATATAAATGTGTAGAACTAGTAAGAATAACTGACCAATAAACAGTAATTTAGAGAAACTCAAAGTAAAAAAAATGGCGCTAATCAACACTCGATGATGGTTTTAAAAGGGAACGCCACCAACCCATACACTTCTTCTATTTTGCTGAATTGCAATCAATGCAAATATAAACATTGTATTTCATTCACCAAGATTCACGGTAATTTTTTAAATTTAGAAATATTTCCAAAGTGACTATCTTTCAATGGATACATTAGTATATTAAGTAAAGGTACTTAACATAAATTCATAATAAAGATGTTCACAAACATATAGTTAAGTTTGATATAAAGATTTCTATTTTTATTAATTTTATCACATACCACATTTCATTTTATTTGCTGATGTGGAATAATCAATTCATGAAAACTACATTGTATTTCATTCACTAGTGTACCAACGCCGCGTTGTCTCGAAAGAACGAGTGCTCAAGGTAATGGACACACCACAATAGAAAGACCGAGTGTCCAAGGCACAGACGCTTGAGGAAATGGACCCCCTTTTCTAAATATTTGTTTAATACTTTTTTTTAAGTAAAATATTCTTTAATATTTTCACTTATTCAATGTATTCTAGTTCTTATCCAAACATAATTACTACCACAGTAGTTTATACATGATTACCTCTGTATTCTGGAGAATAAGAATCGCGAGGCATTATACAAACTACTGGTATTATAATATCGTAATGATAAGAACAAGAACACATTGAAAAAGTGAAAATAAGTTAAAATATTAAAGAATATTAAAAAGGGGGGGGGGGGGGGGGGGGGGGGGGGGGAGGGATTCCCAAAGCGCCCATGGTCAAAGGTGATGGACACCAGCCGGAATGATCAAGTGTGCAAAGTGAATGACACTCCCGTAGATGGATAAACGTGTGAATTAGAATTCCATATAACGAGAGATGTCAGAGCCCCTTTACAACAAGAATTAGAATTCCACATAACGAGAGATGTCAGAGCCCCTTTACAACAAGAATTAGAATTCCACATAACGAGACTCGAGATGTCAGAGCCCCTTTACAACAAGAATTAGAATTCCACATAACGAGAGATGTCAGAGCCACCTTACAACAAGAAGATTACTTCAATCAAAATCTCAAAATTGGTACCGTTATTTAATAATATTAGTGAACGCTCACTCGCCCATTTTTCTTCAAAACTAAACGACGCTGATCACAACCCTAAAACACAGTAAATAAGACATCTATATCTATATCACGGCACATGTGTGTCGGAATTTTCCGGCTTATTTTACAAAAGGGCGTGCAATCTAACTAATATGAAATAAATTTCATCTCTATTGTATACCAGCATTACATTTGCGCGCTTTTGGGGATTAAAACTAATAATAAATATGACTATAGTTATAATGAATTTGGAACGTATTTGTAAATTTAAATTATATATTTTTCATATTTAATTCTAAAAAATATACAGTGATCATTAGAAATCCCACAATGGCTAAAGACATACATGTAACCATAGATGTATAAACCCAATCTATGGGTTTATACATCTATGATGTAACTTAATTGTGAATATATCAGAGTAAATATAGTATTCTGTTTCATAATTTACCGAATAGTGATCACTTTAATAGATACTTTAAGTCAGTTTGTAAAAATGCGTCAAGGTACGCACAAACGATCGTTTGTCAGAAAAAAATTGGTGGAAAAATCGTTAGTGTAAGATGGGTTTAGTTTCCGCGTATCGACAGAAAACTTGAGTCAGGGGATAGTTCATGGCGATGCACTGTAAATAATTGCAAAAGATATTTCACCAGATTCCCTATTTCCTCCAAGTCTATGGGTATCACTACAGTCAGCAGAATCCAGGCATACTACAAACGGCCCGGAATCATTCCATACTCACTAGTCTACAATGAGCAATTTTATTCAACACATCCGTGTATTTTTGTTCATGTTACGACATGTAAAATCAGTACTTTTAATCTTTAGATTTATTATGTTTTTACATTTCTATCTGTATATATTTCCAGGACCAAGTGCTTGTGCACAATAAAACAGACTTATCCTGCTAGAAAATATTAGTTGAATAAATGAATAAATAAAAAAGTATAACCTACCTGAGTTTACCTGTAAAAAAATGCGCGCAAACGTAATGATTTTTGCGCGCAAGTGTAATGCACCGCTTGTGGGCGACTATACCTAGTGTTAACTACATCCGATAGCTTTTAAGTGGTTGCCAAACATATTAGTAGCATACACGGTAGCACCCCCTTTTATTGATAAAAATAATGTCATAGAACAATATCATTATTACAGGCAGAGACATATATTGTTACACGACAGTTGAACAGAGATCGAAAATCTGCGAAGGCTTGCGCAAAGTGATCCTGTTCTTTGTCTTTTTAATATATTGTTTGATCCTATGAAAAAAATTGTCCCAGGAGAAAGTGAAAAAAATCAATAAAAGAAGGGAGAAATGTTTCTGTTTATGCCTTTGAAATATATAATTTGTTTTTTATTGAAGGAAAAACCATGCTCCCGCGAAAGATGAATGGTCGGTGCCATATGAGCTAAAAAAGAGAACCTTAACAGCATATCGTCAAGATAATTTTCATATTTTGCGGTTACACAATTCACTAGTATATACTGTTAATATTAAGTATCATGCATGTGGTCTGTTTAAAACTTCAAATATACCTTCAACGAATGTCGTTGCCACATTACTGAAAAGAGAGAGCAAACGAATAATATCATATAAGTCCAATAAAAACAGATAACACCATGGTCAAATTTTGTTCTGCTGATTTTTATACACATATATACATGTACAGTTTAATGTAAAAATGACAGTTTGCCAACTTGTGTGACGCATTTTATTAACGTGACCCGTCTGATCATATCGGTTTAAAGTAATATGTCGTATGAAAAGTAAAATGATGTCACACTGAATGCTGTAATGTTTACTATAACGTTTCGTGTATAATAAATAAATCAAGAGCCATTTGCGCTAATGTAACATAATTTACCAAACAATAGAATGTATTTGAAACAATTAAGAATGATTAGATATGCTTCAAAATCTATGTTTTATAATTTGGGAAATTAATTGGAAAACAAAAACAAATAAGCTCTGTTAAAGTCGACGTTCTGTTTGAACTGTGGCTATTAAAGTTGAGATTTTGTTTGAACTGTGAAAATCAAAGAGTCCCCCCTCCTCCCCATTGGAAATTCCTGGCTACGGGTCTGGTCAAGTCCGTGTCTTCAGTTTTTTTAACTTTCATAAATTTGTCAAAACTTCCTGGATTTTTCCAAAACTTAAAAAAAGCTTCTCCATAATCAAGATATATCACACTATGAAAAAATAGATATTTAAATTGATTGTTCTGTATTTTACTAGGGGAATATGGTATTGGCAGTTATCTTAGAAACCCAACATTTATACCCAACGAGATTAGAGGAAACCCTGGACAACTTGATCAT